ACCCTGTCTCAGAAAGGGCTGGGGTTTGGCTTTTTGATAAAGCACCCCTGGGTTCAATCCCCAGTACTGGGGAAGGGAGTACAGAGGGATGGAAAGATGATAATTCTGTTTTATAGGGTGGTTATAAGGTTTAAAAGAGTCAGTGCACAGGACTGTACCTGGCACAGGGAACCCACTTCATGTGCGTTGTTACCTTCCCAAGGGCTTTACTCACAGAAATCATCTTCTTTATATTTATTCATTTCGGTTTGTTGGCTGTCTCCTCCCACTCTGGGATGTCTTATTGTTCTCCTCAGTGTCCAGACCAGTACCCAGCACATCGCACTTGCCCAGTAAGCCTTTGGTAGAACAAGGCATTCATTACATAATCCCACCTTGGTCATGTCACCACACCCCTGAAGTACCACCCACACATCTCCTCCCACCCCTACCTTTGATCCCCAACCATTCCTAAAGGCCTGAACCTGGCTCCCAGCCCCTCCACTTGCTAATTCCATGGACTTGGCAGGTCACTCCCCTGGGGTAGTTGGGGGTCCCTAAGATCATCCCTAGGTTCAGTGATTCACTAGAAGGACTCATAGAACTCAAAGAAATCATTATACTCATAGTTAGCATTTATTACAGCAGAAAATACAGATTTAAGTCAGCAAAGGCAAGAGGCACACCAGATGGAATCCAAGTGACCAGGTATGAGATTTCAGGTGTCCCCGCCTGGAGGAGAGGATGTAAACAATGTTTAGTTCTCCCAGCAGTGACAGGTGACAACATTGCATGAAGCATTACCACCTAGGGACTCTAACCCGAGCCTTGGTGTTCAGGGTTCTTGGTGGCGGTCTGTCACATAGACATGTCTGACCTTAGTCTCCAGCCTCTCCAGAGGTCCAGCATATACAGCATGGCCCAAGGCCCCCACCATGAGTCACACAGTGTTAGCATAGACTGCTTGATGTGACCTGTGTCTGCGGAACAGAGACTCTGTTATCAGGCAGAATGGCCAAGGGCCTATAAGGGCCCTCCCAGAAGCTGATCAAGGACCAGACTTTTCTTTGAAGTGTGCAGGGTTTGGACAGCCCAGGTCTGCTGAGTTCATCCTTTACTGCACATTCGGGGCCTTCAGCCTCAGTGTGCATATCTGCAGTCTTGGGAAATAATGATTCCTTCTCAGCGATGACCCTTACTCCATCAGAGGGAGACACAGCAACCCGGTCCCATTAGCCTTTCTGTTCAGCATGCATTCCACACTCAGGTAACCACTAACACCCAGCGAACACTCACGCCAGCACTGCCTGCTTGCTTCACATAGATTAACCCTTTCAGTCCTCATATTATCTTTATAAAGTAGATGCAGTTATGCTCCCTGTCTTTGCAGACAGGAAAGAGTGAAGCACAGAGAAATACAGACACTTTCCCTAAGTCACACAGCTGGTGTGTAAACGTACGCAGCTGGTAGGTAGACAAACCTGGATTTGGATTTCTGTGACAGTCTGGCTCTTGGCTCTAGGAACTCTTAATTTTCTGATCCTTGTGCCTCTCAGCTGAAAGCAGCACCAACTGTCCTATTGCTCATTGACTCTTGACCAGTCCAACAGGGCAGGACTTGGGGCCTGCCTTGGTCTTTTTGTCTCCTTTTGGCCTAGCATAGGGTTTAAAGAAAAAGTGGGTATACAAGAAAAAGCTTATAGACCCCACTTTGAAGAAAACCCAAGATCAGGAATCAGAGTAGTTCATGGAAGAGCAGAAATTAGCTTCTGGTTAGTCAAGTGCTTGCTTTTGGACAAGTCTCAAGGCAAATGTTTTACTGTCTATCTCTATTCCTGACTCCCAGGGAGAAGAAGATGTGAACTTCCCTAATTCTGTAGAAATGTGCACTTTATAAAAACCCATTATGGCTTTTATATTTAAGTCAGTTTCTAGACCATTGCTGTCCATTTCTGTGATCATGGACATGTTATATATCTCTGCTGCCTGGTAGACACTAGCCTCATGTAGTTGTTGAACACATGAAATATGGCTAATGCAGCTGAGGAAATGAATTTTTATATATTTAAATTTTTTTCTTGCAGTGCTGGAGATGCATTCAATCTAGACAAGGGCTCTACCCCTGGAGCTACATCCCTAGTCTTAAATTTTTAAATTTAAACATGGGATTCATGGCTAGCAGGACAGAGCAGGTCTAGATTGAACATCTACTAAGAAGATTAAATCATAGAGTAATAATGTACAGATTAATGATGGTCAAAAAATTGTTAGCAGTTATGTAACTCACACAATTGTAAGCATACTGGTTTTTTAAGAAATATCTTGAATTTCAATGCTGAATATATTATTTCAGGGTTAGGAAAGCATTTCATTCTTCTTTTTGAACCGAACAGTAGGTTTGTTTTTGTTTTTTTAAACAGAGCACAGCGCAACACTTTTGAAACGTGAAACGGTCCTGTAGGATGGGCTTGGGTGGTGCAGATGTTTATGGAGAGACATGTGGACAACTGGATTCAATCCTGCCTCATTCTGCAGCTGTGCATCAGCTCTCTTAGGGACTGGCTGAGGGACCCCAGCCACTGGCACAGTATGGGGGACCCTGGCTCATAGCTACCAATCTCTCCTCCCCATCAGGTGACTTTTTGGCAATAATGAGGCCAGAGTGGCTGAGACCAAAGTGGGAGAGAGACAGAAGATGAGATCAAAAGGGCTAATTTCCCCTATTAGTCAGCTTTGTATCACTGTAGCCAACACCAGGCATGGGCTACTTGGGAAATAAGAAGAGGTATGTTTTGGCTCATGGTTCTACGAGGTCCAAGTCCAAGATGGAGCTGCCCCACTGGTTTGGGGCTCTGGTGAGGATGGCACCTCGCGGTGCCTATACAGGCCAAAGCAAGTACCCAGATGTCCATCCAGGAAGAAGAGAGAGAGAGAAAGGGACAGTGAGAGTCCAATGGGTCCCTCAGTTCCCTTGAGGGACACATCTCCAATGACCTCAGGACCTCCCAACAAGCCCCAGCACTTCAAGGCCAATGGCACCTCCCAATACTGCTGCCCTGATGGACAAGGTTTAAGCATATGGACACTGCCCATATTCAAGCCACAGCATCTCCCAAGGCCCATAATTGTGATGTGGATTCTTGATCTTAATTGGAGTGGGAGGAGAAGGCCTGGGAAGCTCTTTCAAGCAGGGGAGGGAGCAATCTAATGGGAGTTTTGAAAATGCTTCTTGTTGCCACTGTGGGGAACAGACAGGGTGAAAGTGGACACCTGAAGCCCAGGTGGGAGAATGTGGTGGCCCCAGCCAGGATGGTAGCCGTGGGGTTAGGGAGAAGTGGCTAGGATCTGGACTCATTCTGAGGAACAGTTCTGGGATTTAGGCATGGATTGCATGTGGAGGATGGAGAAGGAGAGAAAAGAAGCATCGCCCCGAGTGTTGGGCCTGAGCAACAGGTGGATGGTCTATAGCTGGGATCTGTACATGCCAGGCATTGCTGCAAACCTTGGACAGGACTGACCTCATTTTAGCCTCACCAGGACATCCCATTTTAAATAGACATTCTCATTTTGCCGGACAAGGAAATTGAGGCTCATTGAGGGGGATGTCACTGCCCGGGGTCCCATAACTAATGAGGCAAACCTGAGATTCAAATGCAGTCTGTTATCTGAAACTCCACTCCTGAGAAGTGGCCATTGGATTTCCCTCCCTCCCTCCCTCCAGATGTTTCAAACTGTTTTCCTGGGACAGGTGCCTTAAAAAGCATCAGAGATGCAAAAGGGAACAACATTCTGGCCCTGTGGGGCTTACATCTTAGGGAGGGCCAACAGGTAGTGGGTGAATTGACAAAAAAGATACCAAGTCCTGGAGGGTGGCAAGTGCCATGTCCCACAGGAGCTGGAGAGAGATGGGGCCTTGGCTTAATTGGGATGGTGGTGTTGGGGCAGAGCTCATTATTCTAATATTGAACTCTTAGAGAGCACTTACAACTTGTCAAATGAATAACAGTAGTGATGCTATTTGTGCCAGGAAAAGTTCTAGATGCATTTCATCCTAACAATCAGAGGGGTTTTTTTTGTTTTGTTTTGTTTGGTGGTACTGAGGATCGGACCCAGGGTTGTTTTACTACCCAGCTACATACTCAGCCCTAGTATTATTACTACTATAATTATTATTAGGGTCTTGCTAAGTTGTCCAGGCTGGCCTCAAACTTTGTGATCCTGCTGCCTCAGCCTTCCAGGGTGCAGGGATTACAGGCGTGCCACTGCCCACTGAGGACTGTTCACAGAGGAACTCTATTATCACTTTACAGATGAGAGGGAGGTTAGGGAAATTTCAAGAGCCAGCGAGCCAGGAAGGGTCAGGACTGAGATCCCAGGACGTCTGGCCAGTCAGTCAGTCTGTCCTCAGGGGCTTTGCTTTCAACTGCTGCTCTCTTCTGCTGGAAGAAATGAGTATTCAATTCCTAGGGCGAGAAGTCTCAGAACCCAGAGGGTTTAAGGAGGAACTGAACTAAGATACTGAGAGGGAAAGTCAAGCAGTTAGGCTATGGTAGGGGTAGGACTCAATCTGGACGTTCTACCTCTTTGGTCCGCCGTTTACCACTAGACTGCCTCCTAATCCAGCCCTAGGAAGCCCCAGCATGGAGGAGTAAAAAAATATTTCTGGGCCCCACCCAGAGTTTCAGCCTTAGTAGGTCTTGGATGAACCCCACAAGGTGCATGTCTATCCGTCAGCTGCTGCTCCTGGTCCAGGGCCTATACTTTGAGAATCACTGCCCCTAGGCCGCCTGACGACTCATGAAGCAATGAACACTCCGTTCCCAGCAGGAAAAAATGAAGCTAGGCAAAAAGTGTGTGTGCAGATATCATATTGCTAACAGGTTGTGGTGCCTGGATCTCAAACCCAGACAATCGGGCTCAGTCTGCTTTTTTTTTTCCCCTTTGGCCTCTGTCTGGGGAGCTGGGCGGGGTGGCCCCTTTGTTCCCTGACTTCTTTCCTGCCTTCTTGCCCTCGCCCGCAGGTGAAGCTGGTGTTCGTAGAGGATCAAGCTATGGTAGAGACTGTGTTCTTCCTGACATCGCGCACCAGGGCGCTGTTGCGGCGTTTCCCGCGCATACTCCTGGTGGACCGACTGCCCGGCCTGCAGGGCGCACTGGACCTGCTGGCAGTGCTGTGCGTGGACAGCGCAGGACGCGCACGCCAGGCTGCCTGCTGTGTGGCGCGCCCTGGCACGCCAAGCCTACTACGTTTTGTGCTGGTCTCATTGCTTCAAAGCGCACCCGACGTCAAGGGCCGAGTGCGCTGCCTCACTGCGGGGCCAGAAGTGGCAGCACAGCTGCGGGCCGTGCGCCAGCTGCTGCCATGCGCACGAGTGCAGATCTGCCGCGCGCAAGGCCTCGAGACGCTCTTCAGCAAGGCTCAGGAGCTGGGCGGTGCCAGCCAAGAAGACCCAGGTCTGTGGCCCTTGCTGTGCCGCCTGGCCGGCGCGTCATCCTATGCAGCCTACTCCGAGGCACTAGCCGAGCTGCGTGCCCAGGGCCCGGCCGCCTTTGTTAAATACTTCGAGCACAACTGGGCACCCCGCCATGACATGTGGGTGCGTTTCCGTGCCTATGAAGCATCCCGTAATCTGGATGCGTGCGCCCTGGTGCGTGGCCACCGCAAGAGACTTCTGCGCCGCCTGAGCCCCTCACACAGTGTGGCACAGTGCCTTCGCGACCTGGTGGCCATGCAGTGGGCGGACGCAGTGGGGGAGGCAGCCTCCGAGGGCGCTGATGGTGATGGAGCATGGCTGGACAGCCAGCCCGGGAGGGGGGGAACCCAGGTGGAGAATGAGAGGGTGAGGGGTCTGGAAACCAGTGACTGGGGAGGAGCTCAGCCAGAAAGTGAGAAGGGGAGGGGATTGCAGGCCAGAGAACAGAGAGGAGTCCAGTTGGAGAACCCGAAAGTGAGGGGGCTGGATGGGATTATCTGGAGAGGGACCCAGTTGGAGAAAGATCACTTGAGAGGGCCAGAGATCAGAGACTGGAGGGGAGGCCAGTTGGAGGATCAAAGGATTAGGGTGTTAGAGATCATAGAAAAGAGGGGAACCCAGTTTGAGTCTGAAAAGGCAGGAGGTCTTGAAGGGAGCCCCTGGAGGGGAGTCCCGTTGCAGGAAGAAAGGGCAAGTGGTCTGAAACTCGGAGACTGGAAGGGGCCTCAGGCGGAAGTGGACAAGGACAAGAGACTGGGTCTCAGAAACTGGAGGGGGATCCATTTGGAGAAGCCCCTGGATTTAGTCCCTGAGAACGGAGATCGGAGGGGGTCCCTGGGGGCAGAAGAGGGGAGGAGGGGGCCAGAGCTAGCAGAAGAGAGGGGAGGGAGGTCGGGGGCCAAAAGAAGACGAGGCCTGGAAGACATAGTTGTGATCCAGCTTGGGGACACCAGGGTCACAGGTGTGGCAAATGGAGACAGAGAGGGAGCCCCGTCCATGGGCCCCACAAACAGAGCAAGACAAGGGCTGGACACAGGAGGGAGGGGTCCAGGGCTGGGGAATGGGGTCCTGTGCACCACCCCCATGGGAACTGTGTTGGAAGGCAATCCAGAACGGGCAGTGATGAGGAGTGAGTCCCCAGCTGCAAGGGAGACCCTGCAGGAAGGAAGTGAAGAAGGCCCAAGGGAACCAAAGAGGCTTTGCTGCCCCTCAGGAGAGGAGGAGGTAGACTGGGAGCCACTGGCCAAATTCCGAGCAGCCTGTGGGCCAGAGCTGGCAGACCTGGTGGCTGAGGAGCTGGCCTTCGCCAGGCAGCACGGGACCCGGGGTTTCCACTGGACCGGAGCTGGGTTTGCTCTTAAGGATGGCACCTCAGACTTCTTCCTGGACGGAGCGCTGACCCACTGCAGCTGCTCCATCCATGCGGCTCGACACCTACCCTGCCGGCACCTCTTTGCAGCCCGCCTCCTCACCGGGGCAGCCTTATTCCACATGGACCTGCTCAGGGATTGCTGGGGGAGCGCCCAGGAGCCCTGACCCTTCTGCCCTCTACCTGCCACCCTCCATTTGGAGGGCATTCTTCAATCCCAAAGATAACAGTGCTGAGGCCAAGGAGGGCACCCCAGTCCCTCTGGTCACCTCCTGGGTCATCCAGGGACTTCATCTTGGCAGTTTGCCTCTCTGGGTCCAAGGGGAAGCTAGCAATGGTCTCTGAGGTCCTAGAGCCACAGCTGTGGAAACTGCTGATGGCCAGGGTGGATTCAGAGGGCTTCCCTCGGAAGAGGAAACGTGTGATGAGAGGTATAAACAGGGTCAGGCCAAGGTGGAAAGCAGGAGAGGGGCTGAGCTGGGGGGAGGGAGCAATAGTGGAGGGAAGGGTTGACACCAGGATGTGGGGAGGGTCTGGTCCGAATTGAACTCGTCCAGCCAGGGAGTGCACAGGGGGTGGGGGAGCAGAGGAGGACAAGAAGACATGGAGAGGGAAGGGCAGAGAAGATAAAAGGGGAGACCCATGGAGGAGAGGACACAGGAAGATGCAGAAATGGAAAAGAAGTAAGGAAATGCAGGGGAGGCAAGAGAGGGTGAGGATGGGAACCAGGAAGAGGAGGAGGAGGAGACAGGGAAGAGGGAATTTTAAAAGGAGATGAGACAAGAGAGGTGGAGAGAGAACTGAGGAGAATGGTCTGGGTGTTTCTCCACTTGGCTTTTCTTCACTTTCTGGTTGGCCATTCCTGGAAAAAGGGGGAAAGGGCAACAGGGGTCTGGAGGGATGGGCTGGAGACTCTCCTCAGGAAGGGGAACTGTCTGGACTACTGTGCTTAAAGACCGGAATAAAGCAGTATTATTTTGGTTTCCATGCTGAGTTCATGGCTTCAGGGGGAAAGTGGGAGGTCCAGAAGCAGAAGAAAATTGAGCTGGCTAGTGTCCCTCTATTTTCTATCAACAAAGCCTCCTGGGGCCAGATGGATGGAGGAGCCACAGTGAATCAAGCCATGGCAGCTCAGGCCTCGTCTATCTCCTCTGGACCCTCAAATGACTGGCCCCTGCTGATCATCTTTGCCAGTGATTGGTTTGAGAATGGACCTGTGACCAGTCCTAGCCAATGAGTCTGCTCAGGTTGGGGTGGAACTTCTAAGAAAGATTCCCTCATTCCTAAGAAGTTTCAGAATGAGATGGTCTGGTCTAGACCTGCTTTGCAGTCACCCTGAGATGGTGTGACTAGGAACCCACACTGTGGAGGACTGAGCTGAAACATGAAGACAGTCTGATCTTTGCTTGGCTGATGGGAGTTCCTGGAGTCTGCTCTACCACAGGACTTCTTAAATAAAAGATACCTTAGTGATTTAGGGAAGTTCAGTTGGGGTTTCTGTTGTCACAACTGATGTAGGCTAGAAAGTCCTGGTTGAGGTGACTGAGCACTTCTCAAAATTGTGTTGAGATGCAGTTGGATTCAGTAGGTCTGGAGTGGGGCCTGCAATTCAAGCAAACTCTGATAATGCAGTTGCCGATGAACAGCAACAAAGGAGATTTGAGGTAAAAGACAATTCAGAGGTTCAAGTTGTGAGAAGTCAAGGGCTTCAACTGCTGCTTAATGCTGTAACAATGTCAGGTTTCGCCTCTCATTTCTCCTGTTCTTTGTGGATTCCTTCCAAAGAAGGCCCTCTCTTGGCTGAGAAATATAGCTACTTGAAGTTCTGGTAACTTCATGGCTCCATGGCAAAAAGACTTTTCTACCAGCACCCATATAGTAAATCTCAAGGAAGAAACTGGACTTAATAAAGTTATCTGATATCTCTGGGTATATTAATGCTGTGTAAACAACAACAGCACCTCAAAGATATATAACAATGAGCCCTTATGGCTTATGTGTCTTGGGTCATCGAGGGGGTTGGCTAGACTTTTGCTTTTCAAAGTATGGTCCACAGAGCAGCATCATTGAGGTTTCCTGGGAGCCCCATTAGAAATACAGAGCAGGAAGAGATGTATGGTCAGCAGAACAGGCCAGGGTAGATGATTCTTCTAGAACTGAAATTTGAAAGACATGTTGGCTAAGAAAAGAGGATGAAGAAGTACATTCTTGGCAGAGGTAGCAGCATGTACAGTGGTATTTTGCCCTTGGGAAATGCAAGAAGAAGGGAAAAAAGAAAAAACAAGGCTAGTGGCCTTTACTCCTCTCTATATAGTCCACCTTAATATCCCACATGCTCATCCCACAAGTGAAATCAGTCCCTTCAGGTCTCTGCTGAAGTATCATATCTTCCTGAAAGCCATCCCTGAGCATTTTTTCTAAAGTCACTTTACCCTCTTTCTACTTTATTCTTAGCACTACTTCCTGGAATCATACCATAGGGCTATTTACCAGTTTAGCATTGTGGTTAAGTTTATCAAGTATGAAATCCCAGCTCCAACCTTGTGGCCTTCAGTTGCCTGACCTCTCTGTATTAAGGTTTGGGAATAATAACAGAACCTACCTCGGGGCTTGGGGATAAATGGATTAGTATATGTACCAATGTTTTAATGTTGCCTGCATTTCCGCAACCCCCAAACCACCCCAATTACCTGTTAACACATATTGTGTTTTCCATTGACCTGTGTTTGCAATTATTAACAATCGTCCCACACACCAAAGTGAGAGATCGATTTTATGCTCCACTGTACCCCAGTGCCTGTGCAAAGTAAACTCTGGTTTAGAAAGATCATAGAATAAAATGGCAGACTGGCTAGGAGGGCTGGCGCGTCATCATTTCTTCGTTGCTACGGTGGGGATTGCGCCGGCTCTGAGATGCCTGGCTTCAGTAACCTTGTTCCTGCCCCCTTCCGGCTCACCATTGGCCGGCCACTGGTCCCTGCTGCGGCGGCAAACACGAAACTACGACTCCCAGGAGGCGGAGCGCCGCCCCATCTCCGCGCCCACGGCGGTCGCACGGAGAGTGCGCGCGCGGTAGGAGCCGCTGTCGGCGCTCGGTCTGAGCTGTGCGGGCTGCTTGGGGCTTAGTCGGGTGCCTGCGGAGGAGTGCCGAGCACCCCTCCCATTTTGGGTCCCCTATACATCTCAGGGTCCGAGAGGTTTGGGCCCAGGGTGCCGGGTCTATGGATGAGGGCCATTGGGAGGGGGAGGGGCATTTTCTGGTCTCCATGGTAACGGGCGGTCTTGGCTGGCGCAGAAGGGGGTGGAGCCACAGATTGGCGTTGCCGTAGTAACCCTGGGGCGGGTTAGTTGTGGGGGGCGAGGAGCTGGGGATAAGGACATTTTGCCAGGAATGAGAGTACCAGCCCGGGAACCGGGGTGTTCTCGAGGAATGGAGAGCGTGATGGAGGAATCGGTTTGAAATAAGAGAGCTGAGCTGATATTAGGGGGGTTCGGGTATTTTGAAGAAGTGGGAATGTTTTGATAAATTCGTATATAATGAGGGGATTTAGGGAGATCGCCGAGAAATCGGTACCTGAGTAGGTAACTGGGATGTTTTGGGGGTGGGTGGAAATGCAGGAAGGAAAGTTGGGGCGCTAAACTCATCATCTCACAGCAATCTGTAGCGCTCCTAGGAAGTGCAGGCACTGCCAGATGTCAGAATCCCGTGGTGACTTTAGAGGGACTTGGGTTTTGTGGAGAAGTTAGAGCGGTATAGGAATGGTGGCTCCTGTGCGCTGCGGGAGCGACTGGGGCCAGCCTGCCTGAACTTGAGTGAGAGGGTGAGAACTGAACGAGATGGATTGTGCAGGACCCTGCATGTCAAGGTTAGAAGTTTGACCTTTATTCCGAATGTTTTGTGAAACTATTGGATGCCTTCCTGAAAGAGTAACATGTTTTTTAAAACGTTCTTCTGGCTGCTCTGAGAATAGCCTAGGAGGCAAGGATGGAAGCAGACCAGTCAGGAGGCTTTTGCAGGCATCCCTAGGAGAGGTGTCAGGATGAAGATGCCCTGAAGTGGGCAGGGAGCACTGATAGACAGAGAGCCACCTGGATTCAAGAGAGTCTCGGAAATAGAATGAACAAGGGCACTTTGAGAAACAGGAACCTGATGGGGAAAGATAAGCTTTAACTAAATGGGTTAAGGAAGTAAGTAGGGAGCCACTTAGCAAGGTATTAACTGCAGACAATCTGGATTCTGATTCCAGTTTGATTATTAATTGCTCTGTGACCTTGGGCAGGTGATTAACTCTGTGCCTCAGTCTCCTTATCTGTGGAATGGGAATAATAATAGTAGCCATCTCATCACTTCCTTTTGAGGAAGAACTGCAATCACAGTTGGAATGCAAAACACTGATGTTAAAGCTGGGAGGGACCCAAAGTCCTGCCTTCCATGTCTCATCCTGTTCCTAAATTCTGCCTCATTACACCTGGGAAGAACCCTGAGTTTCCACAAAATGGTTTGAAATCCACCCCTTTGAAGCAGATCATCTCAGACTGTCTGGCAACACTGGGCTGGTGTGCTTTGTGACAGTGGTTTGCAGATATGTAGCAGCAGCTCTGTCCCCACTGTCCCCTCCTGTCCTCTTTCACTCATCCATGTTGTCTGCTTGCCCCATGATGACATGTGATTTGCTCTGAGCCACATTTATGTACATGCTCACCCAGACTGCCAGGAGGTGGCGTGCTGCCTCTTTTCCAGCTGGGGTGACTAAATAAGATAGGCTCTGTGACTTGCTTAAGGATATACAGCAGAAAGGAAAGTCATCCCTGTGCCCCCAACTTTCACCTATGTTGTCACTCACTCTCATTTAGCAGAAAGAGTGCCTGATGGAGTCACAGTTTCTGTCACCCACGTGCTAAGGTTCTTTTGCTCTGAACATGAATTCATCCTGTGGAAATGGTAATGATAACCCTCCAAGATTGCTTTGAAAATTGAAAATAATATCTTTAAACCATCTAGTAAACAGGCTGATACATCAGTGATTGGTTGTTATTCTAGATTAGCCCACCTCCCTGCCTTTCTTTTTTTTCTTTTTTTTAAAAAAAAAAACAAAGGATGGAACCCAGGGGTGTTTTACCGCTGAGCTACATCCTCAGCCCTTTTTTATCTTTATTTTGAGATAGGGTCTTGCCAGGTTGCTTAGAGCCTTGCTAAATTGCTGAGGATGACCACAAACTTGTGTTGGGTGCTCGAATTCGGGACCCCCAAAAGACCACCAGAGACCAAGATCGATGTAAGCAGCAAAGAGGTGTTTATTGCGAGCTAGCTCGGTCCTCCACGTGCACACACAGCAACTGGTGACACTGAGAGGCCCCGAGCCCAGGGTTTGCAGCAGTTTTATACACTCTTTGGGGAAGGCAGGGATCTCCACATACATCATAGCATCTCTTAGCAAATCATCACACACCGCGGGAAAATCAAATAACAACTCTAAAACATGATTAGCACATTCACTGGCGGGAACAAGTCGGGTAAGGGTGATTGGTTACTACGAGAGGGGGATTCATTTGAACTGATTGATTTAAGCCAAGAGGGGTGTTCATGCTGAACTACATGGTTTCCCAACACCATAAACTACTGGGAGGGTCATCTGGCATCCCAAGTATTTCCCTGTCTCATGCTGATTGGTGGCTGCTAGGGGGATTACTCTGGGTCCCCACCTAGCCTGACTGAGTCAGGGACACCTATTATTTGTAGATAAACAACTCAGCAGGGTGGGAATGTGCCTAGGAGTGCTCTGTGGGTCTTTCCAAGAACAAAGGTCATGTCCCTTCCTTGGACAGGCTTTGCTCTGAGGTAGAGGCTGGTTTTTCACTTGCAATTCTCCCGCCTCAGCCTCCCAGGTGGCTGAGATTACAGGAATGCACCAACATGCCCAGCTCTCGTTTTTTTTTGAAAGACTGAAGCTTTGGGCTGATATTTGAGTGGAGTTCGGTGATGCA